AAGTCGCACGCTGAAGCCACTAGGCCAACGCTGCTCTGCTTTAAGTGGTAGTACAGAGTACAATACCAAGTTAATTTTTTTTCAATATAGACTTTACAACCTACATAGTAATAATCAAAATAATTAAAAATACACTTTACCACGGGCAACCTTTTCGTTACTATCCGATCTCTTCCACAGAATCTTAACTGTCGTAAGAAAAATAATCAGTGTTATCTTTTTTTATAGAACAGGGGGCAGGAGGCTGATATAATGTTAAGTGATACCGCCCCGCCGCAAATGGACACTCTCAATGCCAGAGAATTTAAGAATTGGTAAGCTCTTTTCTTGTAGGAAGTTCTTCTAGAGCGGCAGAGTAGCCCGTCCTGAATCTCTCTCTCAGTAATATTCTTGAATCTGTGTCGAAACTTAGCGCAGAGTCTACCCAATGTGTTTGAGATAATTGTTGTAATCATACGCATATTATGTCACCTCTACCCTTTCTTCAGTCGCGCTCTTCATTTCTAAACGTAGCACCGGGTGACTTCCTACCCTCTCCCCTGACTTCAGCTAACCTCGGCGCCTGGGCCATCAACCACGGCCTTTACTTCGGTCCAGCGAGAAGGGAATCGGCCTCTAGTTCTGGTGCCCACCATTCCGCCATAAGCTTTTCTAAACTCTTTGGAACTCTGCGTGTTATATAACCAACAAAAACGCCGGTCTCTTTAGTAATGATATAAAATAAAGATAATCTAAAAGGCATGAAATTCAGATGTGAACACGAGACTTGCTCTTGAATTATGTACATCTCCCAGCATTATTACGAGCCTCATATGGCAGTTAGCTTTGAACAAGACACTAGTAGTGATTTGTGGTCCTTGTTATTCTCCATTGTGGAGTTAACTTGAATTGTTTACGAAGCGACAACCGCAAACACATTGTCATGTTATTGATGTTTTAACGGGCTAAAGATAAATTAACATATGCCTTCTAATGCTTAAAGATAGGCTGAAGGACTTCCGATTGGAGCTAAATTATTTAAATTAATAAAAAACTTTATTATAACTAAAATAAAAGGATCACTTGGATTCCCTGTGTCGTAGACAGTCTTTTCCATTTGACATGTAAACGGTATTACACATATTAACCACACATTGTCTATGCTTGAAAACGAAATTGCATTTTCGAGGATTCCTACGAAAAATTTATACGTTTGCTTTGCTTACTTTTGCTGACAAAATGAACGGGGGGGATACAGTAAATCTGCTTACGTAATACTTGAACGGCCCCTTCCTCCTTTTATTTAGAAAAAGTTATAATCATTATTCTTATCATTCATGCCTTAAACTACTGTATATCTTCCAATAGCGACACGACAGCGACACGACACAAATGAACAAAAATTTACAACAACGATTTCAAAAGCACGCTTGGAAGCAGGATGGAAGCAGGAGCACAAAAAAAATATTATTAACATTGGAAGAGTACTACATCGAACTTGCATACAAACAACGTCAACATCGTTATTTCTATTGGAAGGTTCAGAGTACGGGCGCTGGTCTATGGACAGGCTATCCGAAAAGAGAAACTCAACTGGGAATATTTTGTTTGTTATTGTGTTTTTAATGTGCAAAGTCACTTGACAATCAGTAGCTGTGATGCTCCTGTTTGATGTCCTTTATTTTGAGTATACCTAACAATAATTCAAAGTGTGCTGCAGCGACCCGGAACTTCGGCTGCAGCATAAATCAGCGCTGATTTATTTTTACTGAGCGCATACGATTGTCCCCGATGCACCGAAATAAACGGATTTAACTTATACCTAGAAGACTTAAATCTAAGACGTAGAAGTTCATGCCCACAGATAAGAAAATCGTGAAATATTACGGCTTATAGTTGTTGTTATGTACGCTTTATGTCTTAATACGCTTTTATAAGATGGTTTTGGAATCTAATAAAATCACCATTTCAAATCACCAGTTTTCCTCTGAAACGATTTTGTGACTTAATAGTTAACACATATGACCAACCCGTAGAACGTGTTCAAATCTAGTAATCGTATTTGTAGTAATCAGTAATAAATAAAAATAAATAAAATCAGTAATAGTTATTGTTTAATAGGCACTATAGGCTGATCGCTTACTCGCCTAGACTTACAATATAAAAGCGATAAACTAGACATAATGAACGAGAGCACATATTGAAGATTACAGAACAAAATAGACAGCTTCGTTTTTGTGTTAAAACGACTAAGAGAAACTGTTAACGTGTAATGTTGCATATGTTTCAACTATACTTAGATATGGAATTATAGTTTGGGGAAATTCAATCGAATCGTATTTAAGGCACAAAATATCCGAACTTACGATTGTACCTTACATATTTTTGTACCACATTATTGCAATACATTATTAATAAAAAAACATTTCAGCTATCATTCTTCAAACAAACAATTTGTTTATTAATCTTTCTTCTATATTTAAAGTAAAAAGGTCATATAGTAATAGCATATCACATCATTGTGATCTCAAAGAATCGATTTACAATTTAAACATTGAAATTCAAAGGGCGTCTATGATGACCTCTATGACCGGAAATTGAAGTTCGGACCGCTTGACCCGGATCCATCGCCAAAATGACACCTGTCAAAATATTTCCCGCCATTTACGAGGAGGAATAATATGAATGCTATTATTATTTTTTCCTATGTAATCTTCTTTTGTAGAATTTGTAGACATCTTAATTTTTTACAAAAATGTTCTTGAACATTTATTGTATTGAGACAAATATCAATAATATTTTATACTGAATTTAATTTTTGTAATTGATATGAAAATTCATGAAATAATATATGTACGTATTAAAAGGTATTTTAACAGATTAACAGGTTTCATTTATTATTATAATAACATAATAATAATACATTTAGGCAAAAAGTCACTGCAGCCTACAACATGTAATTTTTATGTTTATGACATGGCAGTTTTTGTTAAAATATTTTCCTTCACTAATGAGCCATAACAAAAAATTGTGCGGAATTTTTACACACTTATCAAATTCTCTATATCAACGATGTTTCAAACAAGAGACGTTGCAATAAAAACAAGCAAAATTAGCGGCAACGAAACAATATCATCCTTTTACCATCTGTAAAACGTAGATTAACAATAAGACTTTATGCCATAAAATAACAGCTATAAGAATCAATTCATGACCTCCTAGGTCAAAACCGATTGGACAAGATAAGGTTGGAAATGTGGTGCGGCTATCACGACTCAGATATTGCTTTCATATAGATAATGCTGCTAGTATGGTATGGACTTTGTAGTGAAGAAAACAATATAATACGATAATTAGGAAGTAATAATAATAATAAAAGCCTTTTATTTCAGATACTTTTACATATTTATATTTCTATAATCTCATTCTTGTCTGCACTGTCCCACTCTATGCTATGTATCACCTGCTTTTTCCTTCTCCTGGATCTGCCATATATATTGATAGGTATATGTATTATTATTATATAAATGGCACTACAACCTTTTAGGTCCGGGATTTCTGTATCTGTTCACATCGGATCGTGATACTATGGTGAGCGCTCGATTTGTTCAGACAAAATGTTACGATGTCCATTTCCTCCGTATCACCGAATCATCCGAATGTTCTTTGAGTTAAGAGTGTTGGTTTTGGTGCTTATTGTACTCTTTTCTATTCTAATATAACATTACTAATTGTAGAAGATTATATTAATTTTTTTACACAATAAATGGCCTTAGGATTTTGTTATACTCTGTTCAGAATGACAGTGATTGTTAATGATATAGTTATGTGAATGGACACATGTGTTTATTTATTCTAAAACTACGCGTGTTCATAAAATTATCCTAAATTAATTATCATAAATTATTATATTATAATTATTAATTAGTATATTATGTTATTAAAATTATATTATATAATTATTATATTTACCTTATTAATTTCATGATAAACAAAGTTACGGTAAGTAGGAAGATTGTTGTAAAAATAATATATATCAATGTTATTAATTAAGTTGTAAGAGCGAGATAGCCTATTCGCTAGGACATTAAAAGTAGCAGTTGTGTTTGACACACGACACGAATAAAGAAAATTTAGTAATAGGGCTTCTAGCCATGGGATAGGATTATTAATTGTGATACTTATAGATATAGTAAGTAGAGAACCAACAATATACAATTACAGTTAAAATATTTTTAAACACCGTTAGTCAGATAAATATATTAAAAACTCATAATTTATGCCTGTATTATGTATAATTGACTTGATTGCATGTATTAGTTAACTCTGCTGCGGCTTAGGTAGGTAAGATAGTGTTATATCTATATATGGACCCATGGGATCTGGTTACTATCACTATAGCGGCATTATTTAAATAATTCTTAATCCAATCAACAAAAATAAACTTTGATGCGCAAGTACTTTAATCCCATCTTATTCTCACGATAAGGTGATAGTTATATTAACGAGATCAATAAATAACGTATACCAGTTCCATAGTTAGCGATCGTGCTCGTGTAATGAAGACATAGTGCGCCACGCCCCCCCTAAGCGGATAATTGAGACATTATGGAGCGCGCGCGCATTTCTCGATATCTGTGATCGATACAGCCTCAGGTATTTTGAAATAGACGATTTTTCATGCGATAAACTGCTAGACTTGCTATGATAGGCAACCCTTGTTTTGAGATAATAATTTCATGGTAAGCTCTCAAAACTTAAGATCCGATAAAAAACAATTCGTGCTTTTAGAAATAAATAAAATTAATAAGTGCATTGTATTAAAGATAATGTGCGCTGGTCCTGTTTAATGAATCTTACACCCAGATCTTTTATCTCTGTTCAGCGATTAAAAAATATTGCTGACATTTTTCTTTGTACCGTCTTCTTTTTAATTCCATAGACTATTAATTTTTGATGTACCTAATGTCAAAAAATTGCATTTGCAATTTGAAGGTTTCAACGGCAAGTTGTAATTTAAAATGGCTCGCAACCGTTTAAGAAATGAAAAGGATAAAAAACGAGGTACTTATTTATTTTACTTATTAACTAATTAATGTGTATTAATAATCATTGTAAGGTATATTATTAATATATTTGCGTGCGTATGAAATACGGTAACTAGATAAAAACCAACAAAACTTCATTTGTAAATATGTTTTTAATAAACTTTACTTACCAGGGTTCAAAGGTATTGCCCCGGACGATTTCGCCTACTGGGATCCATATTATATAGACTCGGAGCCGGTCCAAAGATTCAAGAAGGATGTGGAGGTGTATGATGCTTTGGATGAAGGGTTGACGACTGAAAGTACATCGACAGCTCAGGGTGTAGATCCAGAAATAGGACCCGCCATTGCGCTGACTTGCGTATTCGGGGCTGCATTTATTATACTACCATTTTTCGTAAGAAAAGGACCCAATCGCGGGTGAGCGTTTTTGTTTACGATATTTATAAGAACAGGAATTTTCAATTATGATGTTACCGAGTAGTATCAGATGTAATTAGGCAAATAATTTAAGACTATTTTATTTCGGCCGTTACTCTTTTTTGGTTTTATGACTAAATATTTTAATGACACAATTATATGGTATCTATTATATAGACGCCGGACTAGGGACATCCCTGTGTTGTGGGGCACCAGATACCCTTCCGTGGATACAATTTCTGATTTTTATATAAAGAAAATATAAAATTGAGACTTTAAAACTAAGCAAGATTTAAATATAATATGTACGTAAAAGCGAAAAAACTATAAAAATATGATATTATTATTTATATTTTTTATTTGAAATTATGAGATCCAATCCTTCAAAAGAGCGTACCAATTCTTAAAAGGCCGGCAAAGCACTCGCGAGCCCTCTGGCATTGAGAGTGTATATGGCAGTATTACTTAACATCAGATGTGCCTCCTGCCCGTTTGCCCACTGTCAAAAAAAAAATATAGTCAACGTCCAGATTCTTACAAATCGGAGCAATAATTATTTATTTCATGAATTACCCATTGTTATTATAATTTCATAAATAAGGCTAATTGTTTTTAATAAAAAATATTACAGGTTAACCCAATGCAGTATAATGCTTACGGTTTTCTGTATGTGGATTTTGTAAGTATTTTTACATGTTTGTTTGTTAAATCAAAGTGTTTCTTTATAACTACGATATTTCTTCAGCTGGGTGACAGTATACATCGGTCAGATGAATCCACTTATGGGCCCGAGACTTGAGAATACATCGGTTGCGTGGATTGCACATAAACTGGCAAGTTCTGCTTCTAAAATAGTTTTATTTATTTTCTGCTATACAGGCTGGCCAAAAAGTCGTGGATCAAACGCAAATAGGGGATAGATGAGGTCATCAGCGGTAAAAAATTGTTCTACGGGAGGTCTCTAAGGTCAACCCCTGCAGAGTTATGATTTATTTTGGTTTTTATATGAAAATTGACTTTTTTTTACTAATTCTTCTTAAAATTCGAAAATATCTACATCCTGTATCTTTCTCATAATATCCACTTGATTGGTACTGATAAGTTCTTGCGTTAGACATACTATTTATAGTTGTTTATTGAGTGTATTGAAGATAATATTAAGTTATACGATATACATTTTTTTCAAATCAAAACTTTTTGTTTATTTCGGACCCCACTGTGAAAAAAAATTGAAAAGTGACCCTGTATTACAAGTTTTGGCGCATTTAATAGGGATTCTGAAAAGGTATTACACGTGGCCATGAGTCGCTCTAATATCTAACTAATATATTTGTGAAATAGCGGTTTAAGTATTATATCAATTTTTTGTTAAAATAAAATGTTTTTTGCAGGGCAATCAAGTTGAACGATCGTCTAATGGTTCGTCTTGAAAACCTAATAAATCTTCCTAATAAGCTGTTTTTTAATAAATTGTTTAAGTCACTGTGTATTTTTGTATAGTTTTTTGTTTATTGACGCCCTTCTACCCTATCTTTTCCCTTGCCGAGTAAGCAGTTTGTTTATTGCTATTCATGTAGATCTTCCCTGAGGTCGTAGGTTCGATCCCCAGCTGTGTATCAATGAACGTTCTATGTGCGCTAATACTCGCTCGCACGATGAAAGAAAACATCGTGAGGAAACCGGCATGCCTTAGACCAATAAAGTCGACGGTGTGTGTCAGGAACAGGAGGCTGATCACCTACTTGCCTATTAGACAAATGATCAGGAAACATATACAGAAATCTGAGGCAAAGACCTAAAAAGGTTGTAGCCACACTGGTTTAAAACCGAGCCAAAGAAGAATTAATTTAAAACTCATAATTTATGCATGTCTTATGTATAATTTACTAGATTGCATATATAAGCCAGACTTAATAAATGAAAAACTATTAACTTATCAAAAATTAACTTTTGGCTTAGGTATTTGAGATAGTGTTGTTTTGATACCTTTTTTTATGTAATAGGAGACAGGACAGGAGGCTCATCTGATGTCAAGTAATACCGCCCATGGACACTAACATTGCCAGAAGGCTCGCAAGTGCGATGCCGGCCTTTAAAGACTTGGTACTCTCTTTTCTTGAAGGATGGAATTGGTTCGGAAATACTTCAGTGGGCAGCTGCTGCGCGGCAAAATCTGCCTTAAGAAACGCTCAGTTGTGGAACGACGGACATCGAGGTGATACGGATGGTATTTTCTATACTTGTTTAGTTTATACAGAAATCCATATATAGATATTATTGCAAGCGCTCTCTAGGCTGTGGATTCTAAACATTTACTAATAATTTGTTATAATAGAACAGTTGATTAGCTACTTTAAGCTTATAAATTTGTTACTTATAAGTACTTCCTAGTGTTAAAAACCCCGCAACAGCGCTAAGTATCAAAAAAGCTGAAGAAAACAAAGCCATTAAAGGCAACGTGCTAACAAGTTGATCCTCAATGCAATCAAAAGTCGAGCAGCGAATTGTCCGCCCCCAAAACAAATCTGACGATATCACTAAAGATCAAAATAACATTTGTACCGAAATCATTTATCAACGTTGATTCTCTTTCCATTTGCCGTCCCCCAACGAGCTTTGTGGAATCACCCGGCAATTTTATAAGGTGCAGGACATTTCGTGGGATGAGCGGATTTTAAACGCTGTAAGCCTGTCAATTTAGATTTCAAGTATTATAAGATTTTTTAAACATTTTAATATGATAAATCTGAAATTAAGATTTAAATTACATAGGTTTCGTCGTATTGATCAAAGAAAGCAAATAGGAATTTAGGTTTTGTATACAGTGATTCACGGTGCAGTAACTTACAGTCGGAGGTGACATGGGAATGTGGGAAATCTGGAATTGTTTCACAAATTTTTGACAAATTAAGTATCTAAAAGCCTATTATCGCCATCCCAGCGGCTCGATTGCCGCTTATTAAATAAATAAAAAATGTAAATAGGCAAGATGCCATAGATTTGGCCAATACATATATACTATTTTACTGCCGTGTATGACGTAGGTATGTCGCTAATCGCTCCGTTTATGAATATGACCGTATTCCCACTCAAAAATCAAATGCGTTTCAGGGGAATAGTCTTTGTGGGGAGATCATCATTAATTCTTGTTGGTGGCGACGTTTAGATTAAATTTTAATATCTGTATTAACGTGCACTTGCCATGAAAAACCAATTAAATGATAACTAGTTTAGTGTAACGGACGTGACGTCGCCAGTCACATCAAGCCAAGCCAAAGCCAAGCCAAAGCCAAAGCCAAAGCCAAAGCCATAGCCAAAGCCATAGCCAAAGCCATAGCCAATGCCATAGCCAATGCCATAACCAATGCCAAAGCCAAGCCATGCCATGTTGACCAACCCTCCAACCAACCGCCATGCCTGCCAACCGCAAATGGCAGCCACTTGAGGGGGATGAGCCTATATAAGCCAAAGCCAGCCATATTAAAACCTACTTTTTGGGAGACGTAAGAAATAAAGAACAAGTGTGCTGTCACTCTGCCATTTTATTTTCACTGTCAATTATAATAAATTAAAATACAATTATCAAGAAAAGAATAGGTCAATTATACTCAGAAGTGGGATAAAACGACCTCGACCACAAGTTTTTCGAGTTTTTCGAGAATCTGTTAATAAAAAGAAGTAATAAAGGCTCTACGCGATCTTCAACATGACTGTGTTGATGAAGCTCTAAATAAGTTACAAGTACATCGTGCTGCATTTTTGACTCCGTAATTCGACCCTGACAGTGAGGAATATACGTTATACTACGAGGTCAAGCGAAGAAGAGGTATAATCGCCTGTAGGACTACGATTATACGTGGGAGCAATGGAAAAAGCATTTTTAGCATCAAGATGGCCGACGTTAATCTTTTGTTCGGTCAACCTATCAACAGCGAAGTCAACAAAGAAAAACAAAACAACAAAAGTCCATCTGGCTCTTTCATCATTCAAGTGCGCGTTCTGGAGGATAAGGTCGGCAACGATGTGGTAACGCCACCTCGGCACTACGAGGGTGGTGGTCTACTCTTGTCCCTCTACCCTGCTCCGTGGCGAAGATGGTTACATCAAAGTCGTCAACACCGGGTGCGAGGTTATCGTGTAGTCGCCGGGAGAGGTCCTAGCCAGGGCTGAAAGCTGCCAAGAATTCCCGTTACAGCCGTATAGCCAGGTACTATCCCTTGCTGCTTGCCATACTTTTGCCAATTATAATGCCAATAATTTAGGTCAACCCTTAACTAATAATTTATGTATAGGAGGTGTAAAATTAGACGACATACAGATAGGACCGTTAAATAATAAACAACATTCGGATCTTATCGGTTTATTAATACAATATAAACATTGTTTTGCTATTGGTACAAAAGATTTAGGGTGCACAGATTTAGTGCAGATGAAAATTAAGCTTACTAGTGATCAGCCAGTTTATCGCCAGCCTTATCGATTATCACATGGTGAACAAGCGATAGTCCAGTCTAGTCAGTGAATTATTAGATGCCGGCATTATAAAAGAGTCCGAATCCAGTTATGCCTCCCCAGTCATCCTAGTGAAAAAGAAAAACGGTGACAGTAGGATGTGCGTTGATTATCGTGACCTAAAAGCTATTACCGTAAAAGAAAGATTTCCATTGCCAAACATAGATGATCAGGTTTCGAAATTGGCGGGCAAAACATATTTTACAAGTTTAGATATTCTGCAAGCGGTTCTTGTCAAACTTGAAGTTGAAAACTTAAAATTAAACATGCGTGAGTGTTCGTTCTTGCAAAAAGAAATTACGTACCTACTTAGGTCATGAGATATCGGCAAATGGTATTCAGCCAGGCGAGTCAAAATTATTGGTAGTTTCTCATTTTCCGACACCGACCAATGTTCATAGTGTGCGTCAATTTATCGGGTCGTGTAGTTATTTTCGAAAGTTCATTCACAATTTCGCTGTCATTGCCCGCCCTTTAACTGATTTAACAAAAAAAAGAAACTTCGTGGATATGGAGAAGTGATCAAAACAATAGTTTTGAACAACTTAAAAAGTGTTTATGTTCCTTTAGCTTTGTATGATCCCGCGCTTTCTACGGAAATCCATACTGACGCGTGTAAATTGGGAATTGCCGGTATACTTCTACAAAAGCAGACTGACGTTACGTTGCAACCCGTTATATATTTTAGTGGAGTGACAAGTAAAGAAGAAAGCATGTATCATAGTTATGAGCTTGAAACTCTGGCGGTCGTGGACTCTTTGCGTCGTTTTCGCGTATACATCGTCGGGAAAAAAAAGTTAAGATTGTTACTGCCTGTACAGCAGTCCGCGCTACGCTTACTAAACGCGACATTATACCACGTATCGCGAGGTGGTGGCTTTCTTTACAAGATTACGATATAAGTGTCGAATATAGGCCGGGAGAACACATGAAACATGTAGATGCGCTTAGTAGACATCTGGGGGCCTACCATGAACTTTCTTAAAACAATCCAGTTGAGATGCAGCGGAGTTTAGGTACCTAAAGTCAATAGCATTTTTTCGTACCATGACCGCCTATAAGCTGAAACGTATTAGCATCGCGAGACCGAATGAAAGAACGATAATTTTGTTTGTGGTTTCTGAGTACGTTTAGAAATTTAACTGTCAAACTTACTTCGACAGATGTTCCTATGAAAATAAATAAAATATAAAATTATTTTAATTAATTCATCAATCACAATAAGCTATTATGTCTTAATATATATATTTATTTTATATAAAACTATTATTTTGATATATTTTAAACGGAAAGTTCTCTGGTGCTATGACAGTTGACACTTATTATTTTTAAACGTTTCTTTCAAATTTTGATAGGAGCTTTCAATATTTTGGTGTTTACAAAATTTCGGTTTTATAAATATATTTACAAATTGTTTAACTTATAAAATTATGGTATGGGGTAAGTATTGTTCACAAATTTGTTTATTAAAAATAAATACCTATAACGAAGTGAATTACTGATATAAAACCCTTTGCAAAAGATATTACAAATCAACTTATTACTCTAAAATCATAAGTAACTATAATAAAAAATAATTCCTTCAAATTGTACAAACTCAATTTATACGTTAACTAATTCATATAATATAAATAATTATACTTTCTTTACAGGAAAGCCCCTCTTCACCTCGACACCGCGGGGGATAATGACTACAACCTTCCATCTCCACTACAAAACTTCGATGTATGCCCTTACAATGCAAAATCAATTCTATCAAATGAAAGATTATTATTATGACGAACCACCAAACTATTCCAATAAAGTTTAATAACAGTACATTACAATATGTTTACCTGGGTCAACAAGTATCTTTCTCAAAGACAAGACACAACGATTAGGTTAAAAGACGAGTCAACATAACCTGGAATAAATCCTG